TATTTGAAAACTAATGGTACAATATATATCTTGATTTTTTAAATTTAATTTACATTGCTAGTGTGGTAGTTTTAATTATTTTGTTAATGAATTAACCAAACAGTGATAATTTCCATTTCAAAATTTTATTACTTCCTAGGTGGCTTGGCTAAACGGTTTGGCTTGAAACCTGAACAGTTTGCTGAAAATCTTAGGGATAATTATCAGCGTCATGATGTTGAACAGGAGCCATCCTTACCTCTTGAATTGGCTAAAGAGTTTGTTTCATCGTAAGTAATAATACCTTAGTAAAAGTATGTCAGTAAAGGATAATTTAACCAGCTCAAAAAATAATTTCATTTAATAAAGAGCTTGCATTTCTTATTTATTTTGTTTCACTCTCTTTTTAATTTGTATAAAATTTGAAAAAAAAAAAAATACCATAAGAGATACAGAGAGAAAACTGGTTTTGCTTAAGTTAAGAGGCTAACATTTTCTTGTAGTTGTTTACTTATCATATTCCTGAAGCAATGATGAAATTCACCGCTAGCATATCTTTATAACTACGAAAAAATAGCCTTAGAGTGAAGAAAATAAAAAATCAAGGTTTGCTTTTCCAAGTTTTATGTTACTGTATGCCAGTTACACTTATAACTTGGTGCAAGTAACGATCGTAGATTACTTTTATTAAATTGGAGACAGTGGAATTTCATGATGCATTTAATAATAAACAGAAAAAAAATGTTATCCTTCATCAAACCTATTTTAATATATTGATAACTTTTTCTTTTGCTTAACATACCAGCAAAAACCACTGGCTTACATGAAAAGTTATTTTTATTATAAATGCCTGTGCTCAAAATAATTCATAAGATCTTTTTCATGATTAACATGTATTATGATTTAAGTTTTTAATATTAAATATGATTAAGTTAAAATTTTTTTTATAGGAATCCTGACCTTAATAGTATAAAATAAAATAGTATCTTATTTTCAGTTTCATTATTAAATAATCTTTATTTTTTAGGAAATTTCAAGCACCAGAAGATGTTTTGAAAGCTGCAAAGTTTATGGTTGCGACACAACTGAGCAGGGAACCTCTTGTTCGGCGTTGTATGCGGGATACGTTTTTTGAAAAAGCAAAAATTGATGTTAAACCTACCAAGAAAGGATCAAAGGAAGTTGATGAAAATCATCCTTGTTACGTGTATGTTTTTAATATATTGTAGAATGTCCTTACCCTGATACTATTAAATATTGTTTCAATCTTAACTTACCTTAGTTTTCTTATTGTCATTTCTATTCCATTTTTTAGTATGAAATATGTCAAAGGAAAACCGGTGAGAGATTTAACTGCTGACCAATATTTGAAACTGCATATTGCCCATCAAGATAAACTTTTAAATGTTTCTATTAGTGATCATATTGGAGGCCATACAACAACTTCCTATATTGAGGAAATTAAGCAACTCTACTACCGAGTAAGTTTTATCATACCTATTTCTCATCATTACTATGTTGTTTTAATTAGCTTCTTGGTAATATTCGATTAAAAGTGGAATTGGCGATATGAATTTATTATGAATTGGACAATATCTTATTATTCCTACATTTTTGCTAGTACAGACACTTCTTATACTTGTGCCAGCCCTTGTTCCTTGGTAAGTGAGCTGAATTTTGTTCTGCTCGGCCGACATAATATAGTGATTTTTACTTATATTTACAACAATTTAATTATTTGATTTTAAGAACAATAATAATTTATTAAGTTTAAGGAATTGTAAATTTTATAACATTAAATTAAATGATATAATGGCTTCGTATAACAAAAGTTGTAAAAATAGCATATTCTGCATATTCTGAAACATTTGTATGTGGTCTATGACTATATCATATAAAGAGATTTCATACTTAAGAGTAAATGAGTCTCTTGTTCATTGTGATACAGGTTAACTGTAAAAAAAAAAAAAAACTGTAAAGTTATATTTTTTGCAAATAACATTTAATTATTTTGTCAATACGTGTCTTTGGAATGTTGTGAATTTATTTTACATATGTTGTGAAGTGAACAAAAGTGTATAAACCACTTGACCTCCGATAGGAATTGCAATTTATAAAATAACATTATAGTTATTTATTATAATTGTTTGAGATCTATTAAAATACATGAAGCCTTAGTTTGTGACCTTTACTTTATCTATAAAGTCTAGTTTATCTATAAGTATAATATACACTTATTTTTTGAAGTGAAGACTTCTTTAGGCGCGTTTTGCACTTTTTAGTGGAGAGTCAATTAGATTGAGCCGTCAGATTTTAATGCTCAGGAAAATTCGGCTATGGTCGATTAATTGAAATGTTTTTACATATGGTTCAAAATATCAGAAACTAAAAATTGGGCTTGCATACTGTATGCTAGGAAATTGTTCAGCACTTCATCCTCTCTGTAATGAGTTATATTCAAAATTGTATCTTAATGCGATGCCATGTTAGGGAGGCTAAAAGGAAAACATAGTGTCCAAAACCAAATGATAATGAGATTAGTTGAATATATTATTAAAATATTTCAGATACTAAAAATCGGACCTTTATACTATATGAGAGAGAAATGTTCTGCATTTTGTCTTCTTTAATAATGAGCTAGAGAGATACGATTAGAGAGTAGGAGAGGGAAAAAGATGTGCCCAAATCATATGATAACGAGTTTATGCATTAGCAAAATGTATAGTACTATATATTAATATAGTAGAAATGCTAATATTATAAAAAAATTGAAATTTTATTTTCACAACATTAATAACAATATATAAAAAATAATATAAATGATAATAATAGCAGACATTTTTAAGAATAATGGAAAAATATATAATAATATAACATTACATAACCTTCCCACAGGAGATTTACACATAAATACTATACAGTCGGATACAAAATAAAGCAGTATATATCACTAATTGAAATAAGTAAATTATAAATCATTAAGGACGTTTTTAGATTGACCTTGTTTTAATGTCTATATTTTATGCAATAGAACTTTGTTATTAACTTTAAAAATTTCCTATTAAACAAAATTAAACTAATTAACCCTAACTACAATACACCTAGAATACATGGATTAGTTAAGTTACATAAAAGTGGCGCTCCACTTAGTCCTATCATCAGTAATATCAATGGGAAAACTTGGCTAAATATCTCAATTCCACACTGATGTAAAAAACTCATTGGAGGTGGATCAAATGCTTGAAAGAATAAATAAAATAGACAATAGGTACATATTGTTTGGTCTGTTTGATGTAGAAAATTTATTTACCAATATCAACTTGAAAGATGTAATAAAAATAATTGAAAAATACTGGGATACATTAGAACCGCATACCCAAATTAAAGGGTTTTATGGAAGATATGGATTAAAATATCTCAAAAGCTAAAAATCAGATCTGCATACTGTATGCGAGGGAAATGTTCATCATTTGATTCTCTTTAAAATTTATATTTCATATTATTAATCTCGCCTTGTTGCTGTTTTCACTTCTGTTGTGTCATCTAAAGCACACACCTTAGTTTTTTTTATTATTATTTCATTTTTATAAACTAAACTCATAAAGATAATATTAATAGATCATAAATTAATACCTAGCGAATAAGTATAAACTCTAGTTTTTATTACTTTTTATCAAATCCATTGAAGAAGCATTTTTTTTTTATTTAGCATTTTATCTTTTGATTATAGTTTGAACTTTTTTCCTGCTTAAGCTTAACAAGATAAAAATGCTTTGATCACTCAGTTTCCCTTCTAAAATAACAAAAGGATTTTATACTTCTCAAGCACTAGAAGAAACTGAAGAAATAACATTATTAAATAATAAAAGAAAGAAATTTGAAATATTTTCACAACGAAAACTCAAAGAAGTAAGTTGGTGATTGCAGTAATTCAAAGTACTAAAAAATAATTTACATTATATAATTTCTTCCAATGACTACAATCACCAACCAACTTCTCTTATAAGAATCAACAGTAGACATTTTCTCCACCTTCATTAATAAAATTAGTGGAGTTGTTGGGATGTGGTTTTTTTAAAGAAAGCACTAATTGAATTCACCACTTTCCGAATATCAAACATTTACTTTTCTTTCATTCATCTCTCCCTATTTTTAAGGATTTTAAAGTTTATTTAATTGTTTTACTTTTAATGTTCATTCATTTTTATCAACTTCGTTCGATAATTTTTGTTTTAATGACAACTTTGAATTCCCTTTTAAGTAAAATGGCTCTTTATAGAAATTGGTAAACTACGTAACTCTTAAATTAAATTAAAACGGAGCGACACAAAACAGGGATTACCTTTATTTCATTATTCCACTTTCTGAAATATACATCTGTCCACTCTTTTAAAATGGGATTGATATACTACTTGTAGTTAATTAACTAATTCACATTCCTCTAGGATGAGTTCATGCAGCATGTACAAGAGTGGAATAATATTCGTCAAGAATGTGTTGACGTAGCGATTAAGAAGATGTTAGTCCCAGAACTGATAAAAGAACTCCATACTCGTCTCCTTGAAGAAGCTAAAGAATTTGTTCTGAGATCATGTGCCAGAAAAGTTTACAATTGGATTAAGGTAACAAGATCTGTTATATTTATATTTTTATAACAATAGTTTTTTTCTATTGGGTTGCTTACGATCTTACATTTATTGATATTTGCTGACAATAAAATGTATATAACAAACAAGAATTTAAAATTACTTTATCCAATCACTTAATAAATTTAAACATAAATACAAAATGAAAGAATTATACATTTTTTCTCATCAAGAAGTAAAGTACAAAAAGCTCATGAAATTAAGAGGCCTTAACATTGAAAAGGGCTTCCTTCCGCATTAATTACAAAAATTGAAAATTTATTGGAAGAATGAAAATATTTTAGAACTTGTATTAAATAATGAAAGCAATAATTTTTTTTCTGGAAAACATAGTTATCCAGAATTTAAAGTGCTAAAAATAATTATTTTGAAGTTAACTGAGTAGTATGGTAAGTAAGGTAATCTGAAAATTAAAATCTTACTGCTTTCATAATGTTGACCCTGACTTTTCTCCTCCAACTGACTACTATTTTGTTCTTGAGGTTAGTTATTAGTTTCTTTGAAAAAGACACAGTAAATCTTCTTGGGCATTGGTAAAAATATATTGAATAAATAGAATATCATCAACTACAAACTGTTTTTTTTTGTAGTTGGTCTCGTTCTCTGGGAATTGACATTTCCGGTTTTTGAACCTATAAATTCTGTTTTGTCCTTTTTTTCATTCTTGTGTTGAGTATCTGCATATCTGAGTGATGCTTTCAGGTGGCTCCATTTAATGTTGAATTCGGAGATGATGATGAAGATGACTGGGATACAAGCAAGGGTATTCGTGTCATGGGAATCGCTTATGTACCTGATTTAGCTCAGGCCTCTTTTGCCTGCATGGTGGCTCCTGATGGTGAATGTACTGATTTTCTTAGGCTACCCTATCTTTTAAAAAGAAAAAATACTTGGCGAGAAGATGAAAGAATGCAAAAGGTAAATAAATTTGTTATTTTAATTGGAATTCTTCTAACTAGTAATGTAATTGTTTTATAGGAAACAAAATGTTTTGTAGAAAACACGAACTTAACACGAGGAACATCAACGTAGGAACTAGAATTCATTGTTCATTTTAATTTCTTTATTTGGTTCATTTTTTTTTTAAATCTATTTTTATTTACAAAAATACTAATGAATTGTTTTGAAAAAAGTTCAATGTTCTACATATGATTCGACAATTCTTAATTTCAACTTTTTTCATAAATCTGTGATTTTGATAATATTATTTTTTTCAATAACTCTAAGGTATCTTCTATTCATTTCACTAACAAGTTTCAATATTTTTCTTTCCTATTATAAACTATTTGTTTTTTTTAATTCCAGGAATCAGATTTGGCTCTGATACGTAATTTTATACTAACAAAAAAACCTCATGCTGTTGTCATTGGAGGAGAATCAAGAGATGCTCTTATGGTAGCAGCAGATCTTAGAGAAATAATATCCAATTTGGTTGAAGATGAACAATTTCCTCAAATCCCGGTTGAAATCATGGATAATGATTTAGCAAAAGTTTATGCCAACTCATTGAAAGGAGAGGTATGCTATATTTTCAAGTCAGTTGAATTCTGTTTAAATAAAATTAGCTTACAGCATTTTGTGAATTTTTAAATAGCCAAATGTGAAATATATATAGCTACTGATGGTGCGGTGCTTCATGTTTTATAATCAATACATTTTTATAGAGTGATTTCCGAGATTATCCAATGTTATTAAGACAAGCTGTGTCCCTTGCCCGAAGACTGCAAGATCCGTTAGTGGAGTTTTCTCAGCTATGTACTCCAGATGACGAAATTCTTTGCCTTAGATTTCATCCCTTACAAGTAAATACTGAATGCAAATAACTTAAGTAAATATTATTATGATATTATAGCTTTACTTATCTTTGCTTGGTTTCAGGAACAACTTTCTAAAGAAGAGCTTCTTGATGTTGTCACATTAGAATTTGTTAATCGAACGAATGAAGTTGGTGTTGATATAAATGAAGTTGTAGCAAATCCAATTTGTGGGAACTTGGTTCAGTTTGTTTGTGGTCTGGGTCCAAGAAAAGGAACTACGCTTATCAAAATTTTGAAGCAGACCAATCAGCGTCTTGAAAACAGGACTCAACTTGTTACAACGTGTCATATGGGACCTAAAGTTTTTATTAACTGTGCAGGATTCATCAAAATTGATACCAATGCTCTTGGAGACAGGTATTTTAAAGATAATTGTTAATGATTTAATAAATTATATGTTTATTATAAAGATTCGACTTTTAGTTATTGAAGCTTTCAAAAAAACTTTGCTAAATGAGAAAAAAAAAAATTAAAGGGCTTAGATTGCATATATGGTTTCTCTTAAATGAGTTCATTGATTCTTATATTTCATTTGTTTAAGTAGATAAGGGGGCCTTTTTTTATATTATTTGACCTTTTAGTTTGTCTGGATCAAGCATTTTGGGTTAAAAAATATCAACTTTTAAAAGAAAAATTAATCTCAAATATAGATATAGTGCCTGGTTATCAAACTTGTCTGGCAATTGCTAGTTTTTAATATTAGAATTCTTTTTGATTTTGAAAATGTCTATTTTAATTTGAAAATGGAATTTCGCTATGAGTGCTACTGCGTAATGAAAATGCATTACAGAGTAAAATGATTCTTGGTACTAATCTTTACACTTAGGAAACCACTCAGGAAGTTACAATCTTTAAAGTAGATAAATATAATCTAGAATAATACAAGATGATCTTTAGTATGTAAATTGTTTTTAATCTGTTTATACTACCTTAAAATTCTTTTAGTAACTTATAACGGTAAATTTGTAAAATATACAATAGATTTATAAAAAATGAACCTGGATTACCAATGTTTTTTATTAAAAGTAGAAAAGTTTTCCTGAAAAATTGCAAAGTAAATATATACTTACTTCATTGATATTTTGATAAATGAAAATTGACCCAAGTATCAAAATCTAGTTACATGTAATAAAGTAACATATAATTTGTCCAGTTTTAATAAACAAACTATGTTAATATATTGGAAAGATATAATGACTATGAGCATTATAACGATAAAAGCAAACCAAAAATATTTTAAGTCAGGAGAAAATAAAAAAATAAATTCATGATTTCTTTTGTAGCACCAAAAATGTCTATGAGAAAATAACTAAAATATAGAAACAGTTTTCATCGAAGATACTCACAATTAATTTGCTAGGACTTTGTTCACTAAATCTTTGGAACAAATCTATTTTTCTACATTACACTGAAAGTATTTGAGATAACTGGACAAAGTATCTATAATTTGAACTGTGAAATTCCCCATGGTTAACAATTAATCAATGCAGATTTCTTCATTTCATAGCATGAAGAACTTAACATCCTCACCTAGAGGACAATAACAGTTGTTACGTTTATGTAGAGATATTCTTATTTTCTCTGTATTATAGTATTTTCTCTGTAAGATATATGTTGTTTTCCCCTATATATATATATATATATATATATATATATATATATATATATATATATATATATATATATTTATAATTTATTTACAGTACTGAAGCTTATGTAGAGGTATTAGATGGTTCTCGTGTCCACCCTGAAACTTATGAATGGGCTCGTAAGATGGCTGTAGATGCTCTTGAATATGATGATGAAGATGCTAATCCTGCTGGTGCTCTGGAAGAGATTCTGGAAAAACCTGAAAAGCTAAAAGATTTAGATCTGGATGCTTTTGCTGAGGAATTGGAAAGACAGGTGACTTTATTTTTATGAATGTTTAATAAATTAAATCTTTATTATTGGATCCATTTTTTACCATTTATTGGCAATAGCTTTAATCATTTATAAAACAAAATAAAACGAATAAGGCTTAGCGGATTCAATGCTTATAGTATGCTTATACATCAACAATCTACACACCTACACACCTCTCCTCAAAAACTGAAATCTGCAAGATCTAGCTTAGCATTATAATTTATAGGTTTTATGCGAAGGTGAATTATTGAATTTCAACCTGGATGGTTGTCATTCCCTTGGTCCAATCTATATATTTGTCTTCTAAAGGAAAAATAAGCCATAATTGACCAAATAAATGACAAAATTTGTACATTCATGAAACTTTGATCATATCTTTGTTTTGTTCGTAGAAATAGAGATCTGCAGTGTTCCCAAATTTTGAAAGGACTCCCCTCCCTTACCTTAGTGGGGGATGGGGCTAAATAGGGTGGAATATTTGTGAAATGTTTTCACAACAAATAAACTAAAAGATATAGAAACATTATTCGATTTACTTTGTGAAAATTGTTCGCAAATATTTCTCTCTGTTTTAGTCCTCCCACCCAGAGAGGATAATCCTTCTGGAATTTAGGAACATTGCAGAATCAAGTAATGTATCATCTATTATAGTTTATTTGTTCCTGACATCAATACATATAAATGGATTATGTAAATCTTGAAATTAAAAGGATCCTTACAATTTCTATTGCCAATCGTTCGGTGCAATAGGCCCCTGAATAGGTATTATGCCCGCTGTTAAAAAAAGCAATATATATATATATATATATATATATATATATATATATGAAACTGGTTCTTACAATAGAAGGCCCGGTTCTGGGCGGCCTAGGGTAACAGAACCACGGGATGACCGGTTTTTGACTTTGAGAATTTTACGAAACCGGCACCTTACCGTTGTTCAAGCGATTCATCAGCTCGAAGAAGTTCGAGGTGTGCAAATTTCTGAACGTACCGCTCGGAGATGATTAAATGAGTATGGATTAATGGCTTTTCGTCCAGTAAGAGGACCAGAGTTGACCAGAACTCACAGAGTAACACGGTTGGCTTTTGCTCGAGAATAGCCATTAGACTATGGACAAATGGAGTGCTGTGCTTTTTACAGATAAGTCAAGATTCGTTCTTCGATCTCCAGACGGACGTGAAAGGGTTTGGAGAAGGAGAAATGAAAGATATGCAGCCTGTAATTTTTCCCAGAGCCAACCTTTCCAACGTGATTCCTTAATGGGTAACAAGTGGGTGGAATTTTTTGCCTGTCAGTGTGTATAAATACTGTTGTATTTATTAAAGAAATATCGATTACAGGAACATAAAATTGTTATATATTAACCATTTATTTATATATTCACATTTTCAATTGTTTACATTTATATAAGGGGAGGAGATGGTTGGGGTTGGCGGTCATAAATAGGCTAAATAAAGTTCTAAGTGAAACTCCTAGCTGAACACACCTCCCTGAAGAAGACCTGCAAAGTCTGTTTGAAACTTTGGTTTTTAATAAAATAGTTTTGCCACTATTTAGCCTATTTATGACCGTCACCCTGGACCATCTCCTTCCTTTATAATGCAACGATCAACTATTAAATATCCTAGTTTACATTTTTATGTATTTCAGAGTTTTGGAAACAAGAGCATTACTCTCTACGACATAAGATCAGAATTAAACCACAGATACAAAGACCTGAGGGTTGCTTACCAATCTCCTGGGCCTGAGTTGATGTTTGATATGCTTACTAAAGAAACCCCTGAAACATTCTACATAGGAAAACTTGTCACCGCAACAGTTATTGGTTGGTTTTAACTTGGTTGTTATCGATTTGTATGTTTTAAATAAAGTAGAAATGGTTTTGTTTACTGTCCAGGAGCAGTTAGGATTCATCCTTAATTGCTTGCAATAGAATAACTTACATAACAGGTAGACTGTGTAATTTATTGTGAATTATACAAATACACCCTTTTTATACATCCTCATTTATTTCCTTTTGATTTGTTACTATGTGCTTTCGATTCTCTGCACCATATTCATCATAGAAAAAAGATGAATATGATTCAGAGCACCGAAAGCTCTGAGTAACATATACAATGGAAGTAAATAAAAAATAATGTGCTTGATAACATTGCCATACAAAAAAAAATTGTTTGTGCTGAAAACTGTTTCTCTTGACTAATTTTGGTGTGAGAAAATTGAATTTTCTGTCAGAATCCTTATATTAGCTACCGTTCTGCAGATAAGTATACCCAGTATCGAATACAAAAAATTAAGGCAAGAACAGCGCTGTTTTAACAGCCTCCATTCAGAAGGGTTGTGGTTGAGATTTAATGCTGTCATCAGACCTGGGACATCACAACAAGGTCCTCATACTTTTTGAAAAAGGGGATCAAGTCTTTCTGACGATTTCTGTACCTTGTAATCTTTACACCAGGTTGTAAGAAGTTCCAATATTGAGTCCAAAAGTTCTGCTTTCTCTTTGACAGATCCAGGTTCCATTTCAAGTCACTGAATTGAATTCAGCTTGAGTAAGGAAGTGGAATTTTTTTTTTTTTTTTCAAGACATTCCATGATGAAGAAGAGGGAACATGCAAAAATAGCAGTTGTCAGTGTGATTAGTAGGCTCCCTCCACACCATGGGAATAGCCAAAACGTATTGAACAACCTTTGTTGTTCAACCCTTCTCTTAATGTTATGCTACATGTGATACAACAGATCTGCGGGGCCCACGGTTTATCTTGGTCGCCAACCTTCACCAAAATACTTGTGGTCTGCTGTCTTGATCATCTGGATGATAAGATGTTTTTGACTTGAAAAGGTTACTTTCCCACAAATGTAACAAAAGATATCAGGAGCATTCACACACTTCCTGAACATTGTAACCACCAAAACTACTTTGGTTGGGTTATCACAACAAAATCGTTGAAAGAATCCCTGAAGCAAGAAAAGTCATGTCAAGAGTAAATTGAAATATATACAACTTTCAGCGAAATGGCTCTGAGATTCACAGCTAGTGGTTTCCCGCGATTCACAGACAGAAATCAATTCTACCAACCCAGGAGCAGGAAATTTCCCCATATTACGCAAAAAGTAACTATGTTTTTGAAACTAGAGATAACTGATGATTTTTTATGTGGAAATTCGAATTTTTCACCCCAAAAAAAATTGAAATGTAGCTGTTTTCAAGTGAGATACAATATCAATGTAGAGCAGTGTTATTTTAGAATAACTTACTTTTACTTGACAAATCTATGAAGTATTTTTTTAAATCTTGTTAGTTTTCTGGATTGCATTTTAGGCATCAAAACCTTAAATACATTATTTCTGTATATAATCTATTTGGCCAGCTCCATCACAAAAAGGTTTGGTAATCTTTCAGCAGATGTAGTGTGGCTTGAAGAAAATTTTTATCAAAAGTAAAAATATGAACTATTTGAAATAGATCTTCATCTTTATTAGTATTACTTTATTTTCCTAGAATAACTTTGCATTGAGATTAATGATTGATATAAATGAACTTGCTCACTTATTGTTATGTGTTTTTCTTTTTATAAATGAATAGTTGATTATAATTGGAAGTCTTTATGAAATAACATCAAGAAAAAATTCATTTGACAAATCATTCAAATGATTAAATGGATAATAAATATATAATAAAGAATTTATTCTATGAAACACTTAGAGATTTGATTACATTTAACATAATTTTTTTGAAATCTTTTATCATAGGTATTTCTCATAGAAAACCCGAAAAAGATCAGCTAGATCAAGCCAATCCGGTACGAAATGATGAAACAGGATTGTGGCAATGCCCATTTTGTCTGAAAAATGATTTTCCTGAATTATCTGAGGTTAGTAGATTTTATGTTTCTTAAACTCTGTTGGTTACTTTAGTTTTATATGATTTATTTTAAATTTTATTTATTTTGTCAGTTATAGGTTAATATTTAATATGTAGTTTTATTTGTCAGTTTGTGATTGTCCTTGACTTCTGTTTATGAAGAAAAATCATTTTCTAATTTTAAAACATTTTAAAGGTTAGGAGCCTAGATTAGGTTCTCTACCAATTTAGAAGCATAATTAACAGGTTTTTATTTCATGAAAATCCAGACTCTGCTTATAACTTGTGGCATTAATTTCGGAACAAACTTGCAAACTGTGGTTACTTTCCTGGCACACATAGCAGAAAAATATGTTAACTTACAATGTCCTCCATCTAACTTTGTTTAAAAAACTTAACTGTGTAAACAGTAAAATAAAAATAAAATTTGTTCCATCTCCCCTGGTGGTTAGAAACCAAAGTACTTATTCTAAGTAACTATTATTTAATTGATCTTCCAACTATATTAATGTAAAAATTTGTTTTTAAATGTCATAAATAGATATTATGGTTTTTCTTTTATAAGGTTTGGAATCATTTTGATGCTGGAGGTTGCCCTGGACAAGCTACAGGTGTTAGAATACGATTAGATAATGGGATAACTGGCTATATTCACATTAAGAATTTGTCTGATAAACATGTCACTGATCCTGCTCAGAGAGTTACACGTGGTCAAATGATACATTGCAGAGTAACCAAAATAGAGGTAGAGAGGTTTTCAATTGAAGCTACTTCAAAATCTTCTGATCTGTTAGATAAAAATCATGATTGGAGGTAATGTGAAAATGCATTAAGTTGTGTTACTGATTTAACATAACAAAATAATGTTTATATAATAAGTTATTGATAATGCCATTTCAGGCCTCAAAAGGATCCTTATTACGATCATGAAAATGAAAAGAAAGATTTACATACAGAAGAAGAGGCGAAGAAAAACAGGCAAAAATTGACTTATATTAAAAGAGTTATTGTTCACCCTGCCTTTCATAATATTTCCTATATTGAAGCAGAAAAAATTATGGCTACAATGGAACAGGGTGATGTCATTGTGAGGCCTTCGAGCAAGGTATGTATTTTTCAAATTACATAGTTAATATATTACTTGTTTTATGGTTTTCAATATTAGGGGATTTTATAAATTTCTACTGTGTTCATATTTCAGGGTGCTGATCATCTAACTGTTACTTGGAAAGTTGCGGATGGCATTTATCAACATATAGACGTTAGGGAAGAAGGGAAAGAGAATGCTTTCTCATTGGGTCAGTCGTTGTGGATCGGCAATGAGGAGTTTGAAGATTTAGATGAAATAATAGCTAGGCATGTTAATCCAATGGCAGCCTATGTCAGAGATATGTTTGCCTTCAAGTATTTAAAAGATACTGAAGGAGGACTCAAGGATAAAGCTGAAGAATACTTAAAAGAAGAAAAGAAAAAGAATCCAGCAAAAATACACTACATTGTTTCTGTATCCAAGGTATCTATTTGGCACTTTATATTTATTCAATTTTCTTGATCTTAATCAAGTATGATTTATTCATAAAATAAAACATAAGGTGTTTATTTAATATGCAATACATGAAATTATGCAATATCCTTAGCTATACCCTCTATACTATTGATTATGCACACTAGCAATGTCCACACGAAACAAAAACAAAAAAAAAAATTGTAAAAATACAAAATTAGATTTCTTTATTTTATCTTAATACCATATAGATATATATACTTGTGACTTTTATAAAGTGATTCAAAGTTTTGAATTTGGTTTTGAAACCGATTGAAAAATGTTTAAATCATGATAATGGTGGGAAACCTTGGGGTCAGACTTTTCCAGGTTTTGGCTGATAAAGTGGTCTTTCGGCTTTCAGTGAGCCATCGAGTCACAACAAGTAACAAGTAGAGAGGTTTTTAGATTGTATCCTATTAACATAGTGGCCATCTATGTACTTTTATTTATCTGTCATATTTAATTCATTTTGGGCTAAGTATCATATGAAAAAAACATGAATGAGAAAAATTAATTTTTAGCAATTATTTGCATAAATAAACCATCACAAATGTTATTTCTTTGGTTTTTGAAAGCTGAAGCTCATTTTAAGTGCTTGGTGTGGTCAGATTTAAATCTCATCCAGCATGGGATTAACCATATATCCCAAACTTCAGCTATAAGTTTGATGGCAGAATCTATGTACTAACACTATTGAAGAATAGGAAATGGCTGTTCTTTATGAATGGAGAGGTATTCCTCAGCATTTTATGAAAATCATGCATTTTACTTGCACGATTTATACTGGAAGTGGGCGTATTCTGTATTGGGAGGTCATGATGGCTGAGCTTGTGAAAGTGTAAACTTAAACATTCTCATACCTAGCGACGCCGGTTTGAATCCTGCCTTGGCGGGTTAAAGTTTATTTCATAGTGGTCCCACGGAATGAATCTCTACCTTCTCACTCTGGTTAGAATAGGTTCGGTTGCACCTCTAGAACAATCTCCTGTGTGTCAGAAATGGTGAGGTAGGGGTAACAAGAAAAAAAAATGTATTACATGTAAAAAATATATCTTTTCTGAAATATGTGTTTATTATTTTTAGTTTTATTCAAAGTTTATAATTAATTAATTATTTCTTTTTTAATGGCTTAATTTTACATCAAACATATCAGCTTGAAAGTGGTGCATTGATTTTGTTCGTCAGTTTATTTTTATCTAGGCCCTTCAAAAATGTCCTAGTTCAATATTTTTTAAAAATCAAAGTGTCATCAATTCAATGTGGATCTGAAACTATTGAGTTTTTTAAAATTATACTCTGTTGATTTAAATATGTATTAAACTCATTAATATTAACCACTTTTTTTAAATTTTCAGAATTATCCTGGTAAGTTTCTACTTTCCTACCTGCCAAGAGCTAGGTGTAAACACGAGTATATTAGCATAACACCTAATGGATTCAGGTTTAGAGGACAGTTTTTTGAATCTGTGAATTCATTGTTCAAATGGTTTAAAGAACACTTCTCGGATCCCATACCCGGCACACCCAGTACCCCTAGATCTGCAATGTCAGCACGTACTCCTTATACAAATACTCCTGGGCCAATGCCAATAAGTGAGTACTTTTTGTCAGCAGTTAATCCTTTCTGAATTAGAAACCATTATTAAATATTTCTTTATGATTTTCAGATATGAATGCTGAAGCAATACAGCGTGTAGCTCAGAATATGCCAAATCATATGCTCCATAGTCTTTCACAAGTTGCCAGTCATACTCCCCACTACCCTCATACTCCTGGAGCATATTCTCTACATCAGTATCCAGCCACTGTAATTATTTTTCCTTAATATTATTATATGTTTGTAAATATATCTTTACCTAAAACGATGTCAAAATCCTTGACATTTTAGCAAACTACATGAAGGAAATCTAGATAGTATATATATATATATATATATATATATATATATATATATATATATATATATATATATATATATATATATATATATATATATATATATATATATATATATATACTATCATATATATATATATATATATATACTATAGTATATATATATATACTATAGTATATATATATATATATATATATATATATATATATATATATATACTATCATATATATATATATATATATATATATATATATATATATATATATATATATATATATATATATATATATATATATATATATATATATATATATACTATAGTATATATATATATACTATAGTATATATATATATATATATATATATATATATAATATATTTCTTAAAAGGACAAAAAAAAAAGATTGTTCGATCCAAGGACGATGAAACAAAATAAATAATTACCTGTCATTGGTAATTATTTATTAGAGTTTGAAAGTCCGTGCCTTACCCACTACTGTTAGCTATTTATTATTTATTACCTGATAATTATAAGATATTTTCACCTTTAACAATTAATACATCCTACCCTGATTTCATTTGTGCAGTAAAGTATCAAAGTTTTGGACATTAGCCTTTTTTATTCCAAGTTTCAGTTACAACTTTTTACTCATCTTAATATAAAATGTTTATTAAGGAAAACTATTGTTATTGTGAAAATTTTAAAATCTGTGTTTTTAACAGAAATGCACTTTCAAGATCCTCCAAGAAGTTCAAATAACCAAGTCTCGAAAAATGTGTGTGCGTGTGCATGTGCTTGTGTGTATATGAACACTCTATTGTAATTAAAAATCATGGTCTAATATAATGCCCCTAAAACTTATATGTATAACCAGCATATTTTAAGGGTACAACATAATATTAAATTACAATTCCGCAGGTGATTGGAAAATTATAAAAATTCTTAACTTTAAATTGCATTTAATCAGAAAATATAACAACTGAAGTTAACATAATAATTATTTTTATTATAATATTGATTCATTTTTTTCTTTCGTAGCCATACACTCCGTCCGGCCAAACTCCTTTCATGACTCCATATACCACTCCAAGGTACGGTAGTGGTATGACGCCTGGTCACCAGAGCATCATGTCTTCTGGTTCTATAACATCACCTCAAAGTTCAACACCAGGCCAACCTGTTTTCCTCCACCCTGGCTCAATTACTCCTTCCCATAGGACTCCTGTAGCTAATTTTCATAGGTGAGATCTATATTTTTGTAGTATTGTTAATAATTTTATCCATCGTATAATTCGTATAATCGTAACGGATAGTATGATTTTTTCCTCCTTTACTATTTTTGTATGCTTCAAAAAAATTACATATATCTCTAATTACAGACCTGGTGGTACTCATCCAGAAGATTGGGGTAAGAAAGCAGAAGAATGGGTTGCAAAGAAAAGAGAAAATGCTAGTAGAACACCTAGGTCTACTCCAAATTCTGGCACCCCACGCCATGGGTATGATAAAACCTTACCTGTTTTATTTTTTATTGTTATTCTTAATAATTATTTTTGGGTGTTTAATGCTTGATCCATCAATATAAAAACCAATGTCAGGATGTTCTGAGTAAGATTTTGGTACTCAAATAACTAACATTATGATTAAAATATGAGATGAATTAATGTACTCTTAAAGTTATTATTAAAATTTTTTGAAATAATGAGAAAATAAAGCCTTTCTATAAGCCAAAAATGTAATTAACTGATTGGTCATATCAAGTAATAATTTAGCAAATATTAATATGAATTAATATTTCCATATTCATCTTAAGTTATGAAATGCTCATTGTGTCTTAACACTGAGGTTAACAAAAGTAAATTAAAAATTTCAAGTTATGATCCCACTACAAATTCTTTATTTTTAAATTATTTCATTTGGTTTATAACTTTTAACTTGAGTAACTAACTGCTACAGAACAGTAGAAAAATATGCATGGCTTCTACATTCCACAAAACGCAAGGAAGTGCCATTGACAACATCATTACATGTAATGTCTGAAATTGTTCTTGGCAGGACAAGGTTTTATAAAGCTTTAAGCTTTGTGTTTGCTGCCACCCTTTCCTCAGTCTCTTACCTCTCCAAAAGTTATAATCTTCCTTTGTGATTCCATTATCATATTTTTAATTTTTAAGTATTTTATTTTTGTTCATTTTTATTTATTAAAAACAACCAACCCTGGTTTGATAAAAATTGTCTAAATATGTGTTTAAAAAAAAACAACTCTAAATAATCACAATAAAAACAATGGTGCCTACTTCTCTGGGCCTTAAAGAATGAAATATCTCAATTCTTCTAAGTAAAAAAAAAGGTATTATCAGCTATTTCATTTTTTAGCTACCAACTGAGAAAGTGAAATGTATCTCCAGGCTGTTAGTTTTTATCATCCAACTGCTCAGCAATTTTGAAGTTGATAATGTTTATTTGCTTTTAAGTTATTGTGTCTCTCTTCTTAAAAATGAAGCTAATAGCTTTTAATTGTAATACAAGGCCAACAAATTTCTTTCTTCCTTTATTCATCTAAAATCGTGATTGCTTAAAAATACCCTATTTTAAGGAATTATTTAATTTTTTTCACCTAATACCTAATAATTCTATGAAATTTTCTTTTTAAGGACGCCGCGAGATGATGCCAACAAGAATCGAACACCCAGGTATGCTGATAATGATTTCACCTCTCCACGCCCTGGTGCAAATTTCACTTCCCCGAGATATTCCAATTGGAACAAAGTTGCTGGCACTCCTAATTCACATATATCTGGTGAGTATTAGTTCATATTGTTAGTATTATCTTCACTGTCGCTTATAAGGTATATTTCTTAATACCATATATTGGGTTGTCCTGAAAATAATGTAGGATTTTGAGTTTTCTTTAAAATACTGCTATAACAAACTCTTTATGTTTACTAGATTATTCATTTGTATGAATGTCAACACTTATTTATCCGCTTTCAAACGATAATTTGTGTTCACTGTAGCATTTCGCTGCTTAGAAATAATTCAGTCTTTACTAAGATGTCAATGCTTGATTTTCGTATAATTTTGTTTTACGAGTTTAAACTCAGCCAGAATGGGGCCCAGACGGCCAGAAACATCAATCAAGTTTGGGACGAGAGCAGCATTAATGTGTGCATTGTTCAACGGTGATTCAAACAATTTCGGGAGGGAGACTTCAGCCTTGGAAGACAAAGGTCGTGGAAGGACTTCTTCTCTTGATGATGATGTTCTGCGAGCTTTGGTGGAAGAAAACTCTAGAGCAACTGTTCGAGAACTTCCAGGAAAACTTAACATTAGCAAATCAACCGTTGATGATACCTCAAGGCAATTGGTAAGATAAAAATGCTTGAAAGTTGGGTTCCACACATATTAAATGACCGCTAAAAAACAGCATTATGAAGTTTTTTCTACACTTCTTTGCCAAAACAAAAACGACTCTTTTCTGTACAGAATGGTTACTTGTGATGAAAAGTGGATACTTTACGATAGCAATAGACGTTCTCAGACTCAACAAAGGAGAAGCAGCAGAACATTTTCCAAACATTTTTAAATCCTGGAGAAACCATCGATGCCGAATCATATTGTAACCAAATTAATGTAATGAATCAGAAATTGGTAATAATGAAGACGTCTTTGGTCAATCGGAAGAGGCTCACTTTGTTGCATGACAACGTCGGGCACATGTCTCACGTTTGACGTAACAAAAACTGTTGGAGCTTCTTGGATATGAAACTCTGCCACATCTGCCCTACTCTCCGGACCTCTGGCCTACGGATTATCATTTTTTAGACACCTGGACCACTCCTTACATGACAAAAAATTGAATGGACAAAAGAAATTTAAAAATGCGTTTTTCGAGTTTATCAATTCTGAAGATGTGAAAGTTTATTCCGAGATAATGGAAAAGTTACCAACACGTTGGCAGATATGTATTGATAATAGTGGAGACAATTATGATTAAATAAACAGTTGGAAATCTTTCTTTTGTCTTTTTAAACCAAAATCTTGCATTATTTTCCGGAAAACCCAATAGTTGTGAACAACAGAATCAAAAATTAACATATAATATGAACTTTGTGGATTGCCAAAGGGATAAGAGGCAAATAGGCTTCCAGATTTAAAAATTGTTTATTCATCTAGTGTTTCAGACTAATGTTATCATCTCAAAAGTAAAGTTACAATATGTTAAATTATGATTCTTACTTTAATAATTGAAAAAAAAGTTAAGCTCCCTGAAAATTTGAGGTTTTTCATTTTAAGATATGTAGAATCCAAAAATCAATTTTAAAAAAGCCATCAGTGCACTGTATAGGGTTTTTCTTCAATACAACTGTGCAACTGTGCTGATTGTTTTGTGTCAAATACAGCGGCAGAGGCCACGCCTTATGATGATCCATGAAACTCAACAATATAACTGTCATAATTCAGTATATAAAAATGGTGACCATAAAGCATGTTTTTCTGTCAACAAGGCTGTAACAATTTTAATGAAACTTACCTAAAGTCTTTTCCTTGAAGCCATTTAAATTTATGTTTATAACATACTTCCTCAATAAGAAGCTGGAAAAAAGTTAAAATGAATGCAGAATTTGATTTGCATGTAACTCCAAAATTACACACTTCTGGGTGTATATGTTTATGATTACTTGAAAAAACAATGAAATTCCATAAGAAAAAAAAAAATCTAAATTAGTCTATTTGGTGCAGAAATTTAGTGTTTTGAACTTTTTTTATGTGTTCTAATGTAATAGTTATATCTCTTGTTTTGGTTTTTGATAATTACAAAACTTAACATCTATGAAAGCACTAGAGATAATTATTTAAAAAAATTTATTTTATTTATTTATTTATATGATATTTACAACTGTATACAAAAAATACATCTGGTAAATTCGCACATGGATATAATGACATGGAACACATATTGAGAAACTACCCATTGGTAGCACTCTAATAATATATCTATATTAGAAGATCACGTGGCAATCTTCTTTTCATACGCCTCGGAGGGTTATCAGGAATCGAATAGGAAGCAAGGTTAGAGACAAGAGGGTTGGGATGGTTATGAAGTTTATTATGGAAGGACAGATATCTGGATTGGGCCAATCTGATACATAAGGAACATTAAGGTCATTATGGGTAATTTTATTTGTAACAAAGTAAGGAGCATTGAGGATTTTACGAAGGATTTTGGATTGTAAGGATTGGATGCGAGAGGAATTTGATGGTTTGGTGGAGCCCCATAGCTCAACTCTGTAAGTCCAAATAGGCCTTATTATAGTCATGTAAATGAGTCTTACAACGAAGGGTGAAGGTAATTTGATGGGATATATTGGAATTTATTTTAATTCTCCAGTTCTGACACCATTCTTCAAGGTTTGTGTTGTGAGATTCAAGGGTTTGGGATGCAATAGATGGGTCGTTATTAACTGATAGGATACATGTGTCATCAGCATATGTGGTGATGACAGTGTTGGGATGGGTTGGGATGTCAGCTGTATAAACTGTGTAAAGGATAGGACCTAAGATACTACCTTGAGGAACACATGCAGACTGGGAAAAGCGGGATGTATAGACATTGTTGTGATTTACTTTAAAGTATCTATCAGTAAGGTAGGAACGGATAATGAGGAAGTATGTAGATGGTAGGAATTTTCGGAGTTTGTACAGCAGTCCCGGATGCCAAACTCTATCAAACGCCTGTTCAACGTCGAGAAAGACTCCCGTACAGTACATACCACGCTCCAATGCAGAGGATACTACGTCTACCACACGATGGCATTGCTGTATAGTGAAATGGGAGGAGTGGAATCCAAATTGGTGATCTGGGATTATGTGATTAGAATCTAGGATTGGGTGCAGGCGTTTTAAGATTAGTTTTTTCAGGATTTTTCCCATGATGTATTTAAAAAATGATTTTATTTTCTATATTTTTTAACAAAAAAATCTTAAGCAGGCCAATTTATTAGCCAACAGTTTTTATATCACATTTTCTCCTTAAGTCGTAAGGAAAGTGGTGTGGCATACCACACACATTTGATACACAACTATTAGGAAATAATAAACCATTTTTTTTTTCATATCTTGGATTTTATACAGTATTTATTATATGTCTACATATCTTCTTTGTTCCGGATACAAACTAATATATATATATATATATATATATATATATATATATATATATATATATGTGTGTGTGTGTAATAATATATACTACAGAACAGAGAATGAAGAAACTAATATACTCACAGGCTACAATAACTGAGTCATAATAAATTGACGTCCTTTATATGTTCAACAAGCTTTCCTCAGGAATCCTTCTCCCTGCCAAACAAATAAACAAATGAGAAATTTTTCATTATCTTTTATTTAATTAAGTAAGGCAAAATTCAAAACTTGTTTTTCTTTTGGACTCATTACCACCTGAAGTGTCATGGTCACATTGACATCAACTACTTGGATCTTCTCACAAAAAGCTTGTATCACTTATACTAGGAAACAAACAATTTTTTTTTTTTTTACCAACAAATTAGAGAATAAAGTAACAGCTGGGTAGACTGTAGAGATCTGTAGACTCCACTGTGTGCCTTCAGTCAGTAGTAATTGTTTATCCTTAAATAAAACATCTTTAAATGCAACTGATTTTATCATGTTGGAAAAATCAGTTGAAATAACTTTATATATGATTGATATTAGTAATAAATATGATTGATCAATTGAGTGGCCTCATACCAAATACTGACGTCTGTCATTTTTAGAAAGCGGGAAAAAAGTCTATTTTATAGGTTTAACTCAAACCGTTTCTGATCGTTTTATTTAGGAATGTTCAAGGTGAAACATGAAACCAAATCATTAGAATTGGTTTAAATTGAAGCTATGTTAAAATAATTGGCTTTTTCTCGACTTTTTAAAAATGACAGATATCCATCTTTGATGTAAGGCCACTCAATTACTATTTGTAAATAATAAAAATAAAATTATGATTTTTTTTTTTTATAAAATTTAATTTTTCAGCTTATGAAGATGCCAACTATGATGCCAGAAGCCTCAAATCTCCACGTCCTCCTCCTGCACAGGGAAAGTATGACCCATACGAACTCGGTCAAGGAAAATCACCTCGGTATTCACTTACTCCTCGTTCCACACCTCGTACCATCAATTCACCTCGTTCTATGTCACTTGGTGATTCGACTCCACTCTATGACGAGAGCATCTAGCCCAGTTATTGTGTTTTTTATAATTTTTTCCACAACTGGACCATGACCTCTCATCATTGGTCAATGTTGCTCATAACATGTTCATATATTTTATAATAGATGTTTTTAAAAAATACTTCCTAGATTTTTGATATTTTAAAAATTATTTATATTAATTGTGTTATTTAGTGCATATTATTTATGTATACTACTATATTGTGAAATTCCAAGTTTTTAACAGTTACAAATATAATAAAACAAATTGTAACTGCTCTTTTATTAATGGATGTACAATATATGAGAGTTGAAGTATCAAAAAAACTCCTATAATCCATATTTTAAGTATATTTATTGTAATTGGAGGATATAAATATTTTTTTTTTTTTATATTTTATGAGTCCTAAAACCTTCAATTTTATTATTTCATCAATGTACCTCTTTATTATTTATTAGCCCAGAAAAAAATAAGTAAATAATTAAAAAAAATATTGGTTGGGTTAAATTTAATGTATAACCTGCTTAGAGACTGTATATATATATTTATATATTTCATTAAAAATAATGCATAAAAGGCTGCTAAAGGACTTAATTTTTTCTAATGGAAGTTCTTTCTGTGATGTTCTAACTATTTCATATATGCTCGCTCAGACATCTCATTTAAAAGTCATTTCATGTTTTTAGAATGGAATAATATTTTTAACTTTTTTTCTTTAAAGAAATTTTATATCACTCTACCCTCTCCACCACCCCTATTCCCAAAAGGAAGTTTTTGATTTTTTCTGTAATGAAAAATTTGCTTTTTTTTTATTTAAACAATTTTTATCAATCCCGATGGTTTGAAGAGCAGTTCTGACTTTATAATCTTAAAAGCAATATTTATTGTTACTATTTTAAATAATTTCCAAAAATGTGCATTTTTGTTACCTTAATTATAGTATCGCATAGCACACAAATGTGTGGATTAAATGATTAATATTAAGACAGCTTTTTGATGTCTGAAAATGTTCCAAAGTTGTTTTTATTTAGTGTATTTTTCAATTTATTGATTATAATGTGAATAATATAATCTAGTATAGTATTCAGAAATTTTTTATTGTAAACCACATCTTGGAAAAGTGTTTCGGTTGAATTGATTCTGCTAAGTGATAGAGTTCCGGAAATTCGAAGTGAATGAAATTGAAATGAGAGCCCTTGCCATTTGAGGACTGAAACATTTAAGAGCTGTGACATGATATTACGATCATAGTAAAGCTAAATTATGGCGTTTGATGTTATCGGAAATTACATTAGGAAAGTAAAAAGTCTGTATTTCAATTTTTTTTTCTTAACTCACTAAATGTATCATCTTTTTTCCCCTCATTATCTCAGTATAACCAATCTGCCTCAACAGACCCCTCAATGTCTATAACTGGTATAGTATCATCATCATTCTGATGCTTAACCATTTCATCATAATTTTGTTTTCTAGTTGCATATAAAGCAGCTAATATTCTTTTTAAATTCATATTATGGCTGGAGTGGTATTTATAATCCTACAATATTTTAGAACATAAATGTCTTATTACAGTTTCTTTTCATTGTCTATAACCTTTTCTTGCTGTAACAATATAACTAAGAATTACCGGTACTTTATTGTTATCTTTTTATAGAGACAGCTATATCATTACATATAAAAAATAATGCTAATGGTATAGCTAATTTAAATTCTTAAATTTACTTTTCACAGAATGTTGAAAAATATTGTTATAATTCTTTTGAAAATCCAAATAAATCAAAATCATTTCTCAAAACAGAATATTGCAGCATCAAATTTTCGTACTTTGTGATCCTTAAATTTATTTTTGTTTTGATTGACGGTGGATATGTTTCTAGTTAATAAATAAATTATTAATGAAATATGTTTCTCAATTATTGTCATATATTGCCTTAATTCTTATGAATAAAAAATTTATTATTCGCTAGTACTTATCTTTTTCTTATTTTTTTTTAAATTATTCAAATTTGTTGAATGGTATTTTTTTTTTTTTTTTTTACTCAAGGATATATTTTCTGTAATATTAAGACTGAATAAATTTTTAATTTTTTGTTCCCGTTTCATTTATTTATTTGAAATTGCATATATTGACATTAATAGGATAAACAAATTACTTTTCTTCCTTGTTTGCTTTTTAAATTAAAATAAATAAAATATAACACAGTTTCAATATTTTGAGAGTTTTGTCTGTCCCATCCTCAGGATCTCGCTGTTATATATTTCCGTATTCGATCAAATAATACTTCCTCAATTATTACTTTGTCCTTCCAATGTATGATTTTATAAAACTACACTGTTACTAGAGTCCTATTTTAATAATAACCTTCGCATATTTAAAATATTTTATGAAATTATAAATATATTGAATGATGTTACTGTTTAACATTACTAAAATTGTAGCAATCTCGGCCCCAACTATTGCGAAATCACATAAGTAATGGAATAGTCTAATTAATTATTTACAATGTTCAATTTTATGTAAAGGTGTATTTAAACAGTGGATGGATCTCCATCATCTGGATAGTGGTACTTATTTTTATAAGTACTAAAGCTACACAGATGTTAATAACAGCAAGTCCTTACAATGTTATCACATTACATTACATAGATACTTTTATTAGAAGCTTTTTCTTTTGGAAGAATCATTTCCAAGCTGCTGAGTCAGAGTAAGAGTAATAATTCATTTTTTAAAATGGATTTTTGGTACTTATTTCACACAAAATTTCTTTAAAAATGATGTGAAACTCATGAAATTTCCAGTCAATTGCTCCACTTTGGACAGAAATTATTTTCTGGCAAAATTGGGATATTACAAAAAGTTTTGGATGTGAATTTTTAATAGAAATCCTCACAAATTTGTTAATTTCGGTCGTACTTATAAGTGCAAAAACTCATTATGACCATAAAAATTAACCCAAACCCTATTTGTTATGCCAGTGCAAGGTAAAAGAAAATCTCATTAATTCCATCAGTCTATTTGAACCTCATAAGTCCCTGAATTCTGTATACAAAGAATGATTTGAATGTACATATTGTAATCTACTAATAGTAAGGATTGTGCTTCATAGTTATAATTATAGAAATTAAATCTCTATCACTCCTTAAATGTATTTAAACTCAATTCTTTTACTTTCCTACCTATACTAGGTAAGAAAAGTATTGCAATCGGGTCAAATTTCCAATATGTAACTTTCGACAGATCTATACGTTTCAGAGCCCCCGAGTCCGTAAATCACATTTTTAGCCATTGGTCTGTCTGTCTGTGCCAAGATTTTCTTGGGAACTACTGAACCGATTTTGTTGCTTCTTTTTTTATTTTGTAAGGTTTTGATTACTGACGCCTTTGTCAGAAATTCGGTGCTCCATGCACAATAAATGAAAAACATGTTTTTCTATAGACTGTAACGTGAAAACAGCTCTAACGATTTTGATGAATTTTTCCTATAATGTTCTAATAATTATCCTTCCAATTTTCATATATGGACTAAATTCCCGAGAAAATACAGAAAAAAAAGTTATAAAGAAAAGAAAAATGTTACAGGTCTAACTCCATAAGTATACATTATACGGTAAAATTCATAATAAAACTTTTGAAAGGTAATTAAATTACCAAAAAAAAAAATCATCGGAATCGAACCAGTATTAGCGATGATACACTTATTCTATTTTTTTACTTATTACTTTCCTACCTATACTAGGTAAGGAAAGTATTACAATCGGGCCAAATTTCTGATATGCAGCTTTCGACGGATCTATAAGTTTCAGAGCCCCCTGAGTCCAAAAAAAATGCTGTTTAGCCTGTTTTTTGAAAGTTAATGAAATTCCCTACACAACTATATAAAAATCATTCATTTTGGACAACTATTCAATTTCCAATGTAAGATTACGTGTTCATATCCTGGTGTGAGAAAGGGGTGAATGAGAGAATAAAGATGACTAAGTGAAAGTAAGAAAATCTGTTGCCCGCATCAATATTTCCTCTACTTTTAAGAGAAATTATTGTTTGACAATACTAAGCTATGGCAAAAAGTTTTTGATCAGCAATATTAGAGAGTATTGAAATATTTACACTGATTTCCCTTAAGCCGGTTTATATTGCTTTAGTTTGTCAAATAAATCGTACTCAAATCTTTTCTTTGAACAATTTTCAGTAAAATAAATCTAATTTAATTTTTGTTTGTTTATTCATGAACATATGTAAGTATATAAAAACTTTTCTGAAATAGGTAGGAAAGTCGTGCGAGTGGACACAGCAGATATTTTCCCTTGTAAAACTTAACAAAATACAGTTATGAGTTTTTCAATATATCATTGATAAGTCTAAAGTTGACGCACTAACTGTAAGTGAATAATGTAATTTCACAGAAGGAACATTTATCTAATTATTTACTAATTTAATTTTGTATAATAAAATGTTAAGTAATGATTTATTGGAATAACTTTCACTTTGAAGCACAGTTCAGAAGTTATGGGCAAAAAAACTGCCTAACATTTTGAGGTGTTATGGCTGCCAAAAGTAGTCCCTGTTAGCATTTTTATTCTTTACATTACCTGTACAGGTATTTTTTTTTGTGTGACATACAACTTTTCACAACCACCCTATTTAAATTATTAAATGTTTGCTCAAATGTAGCTAGTTGTTGGGCATTTACTCCATCACTATATTTAAAGCACATAACTCTTCTTCAGAGCTCTATATACAAAGAGAGATTTAAAAGTACTTCGACATCTTTAATCCTGGTGTCACAAAACATTGAGACCTCCGCCCAAGTCCCGTTGGCCATGGCTTGTGATTAAAAAAATCTTGTACTATAAATGACATCACCTCTGAAATTAACTTTGTAAGAGAAAAAAAACACGTAATAAATGTTTTAGTAACCTCATGCAAGCAATTTTCTAAATTTCATATTTTTAAATAACTTATAAAAACAACTTTTATCCAATCATATCTCCTTCTTTCCCTCTGCATAATACAGTTCTGACATTGAATCTTTTTTTTTTTAATGTCCTTTACACCTTTGTTAAATTTTCTTGTTTCTTCCATGAGCCATTGCTCTAATAAGAACAACCTATAAAATATTGGCAGTACTCCTGCTTAAAAGACTTGACAGATTTCACTGAAAAATCATAGGAGAATATCAGAGAGGCTTTAAGATCAACAGTCGACCAGATATTCTCTCTGGGACAGGCAATGGAAAAATGTTATGAATTTAATAGACATGCACCTTCTCTTTGTGAACATCGAATAGGCGTATGACAGTTTAGAACAGAAAGGGACTTTTGAAATCTATGATAGATGTTGGCATACCCAAGAAACTGGTTAGACTAACAAAAATGACTATCTATTCAGTGAAACTTGCAAATTCGCTGTCCGAAGAATTTGAGGTGGATAATGGATTGAGACAGAGTGATCCTCTATCTACCCTTCTTTTTATTCTAGCCCTGAAAGTGGCTATTCGTTCTATTCGGACAAATCCTGGAGGAACCATCTACAATCGTCCGTCTCAACATCTGGCAAATGCCGATGATGTTGCCCTTACCTCTAGAACCCAAGCAGTATTATCAGGAACTTTCCAGGAATTCTAAGAGGCAGTGGCTAAACTGGGTCTTAAGAGTTAGTGAGAATAAGACGGTTTACATGAAAAGTTCAAAAATGGAAAAGGAAGTGAATACTGAAATAGCTTCAAGGGATCATAACTTTAAGCCTGTTGACCATTTCAAGCACCTTAAAAGCCTGGCCACATGCAATAATAAAATAGAAAGTTAAATAAAGGCCAGGATTGGAGCAGGAAATATATGCTATTTCTCACTGCAAAAAGACTTGAAATTTAGATTACTTTAAAAGAATCAAAATCCTCATCTGCAAACCATAGTAAGGCGAGTGGTTATGTATGGGAGTGAGACTTGGACCTTAACCAAAAACTCAAAATGCATGCTGAACTCCTGAGAGAAAAATATTGAGAAGAATATGGGCGGAATCTCTGAGAATGGAGATTGAAGAAGAAAGAATGAGGAGCTGTGGGAACCTGATATTGTAGCATTGAAAAAAAGAGCCAGGATAATATGGTTAGGTCACGTGGAAAGAATGCCAAAGAGTATGCTGCATGAGAAGCCGAATGGCAAGTTAAGCAGAGGACGATTTGAGGCAGTTAGGCGTTCGAAGATGGAGAGAAGTAGCACAAAACCTTGGAGATTGGTTGGCTGTATTGGAGGAGGACCAGGTTCTTGCAGGACCATAGCGCCATTAGAATAATAATCTGATTTTATGATTACAATTTATCCAATCCAAAATATTTCTATTGTGTCACAAGATCGATAAAAAATTGACTTTATAGTGGTTTGGTTATTTTAATTTCAATATTTTTTTTATTAAAATACCTGATCCAAAAATTCTGTTCTGTTAAAAAATTGTACAGACTTGTTTCAAAACCACAAATATATACTAAGATTATTTTCATAAAAAGTGCTCATTCGGTGTCCTACTTGTCCAAAAATTTATAGCTCCCAACAAGACTAAAAACGAAAGACAAAGAAAAACATAATAAATATTTTATTTATCTTATTGTCTCTCTCTCTCTCTCTCTCTCTCTCTCTCTCTCTATATCTATATATATATATATATATATATATATATATATATATATATAGAGAGAGAGAGAGAGAGAGAGAGGGAGATATATTTTTTTCTTTTTTTATTTATTAAGTAGTATAATAATACTTTCAAACCTTGTTTTGTTAAAACTTCAAAATTAAATTAATAAATAGATTGCTATTGTGGGATTGAAGAAATTAAAACCTTCTAAGAAAGACATTTATTTTATACATATTCATAGGCCGCTAAGAAGTTCGTTAAATGTTAAATATTTATTGTTAACATACATAACTGTAATTAAATTTCTACAAATATTATATACATAAAACAATTTATCCATATTGTAAAATTTTAATATTTTTACAACAATCATATTGAAACATATTGTCAAAGCTTCATTAAATCTAATAAGAATCAGCAAAAGCTATTTTGCATTACATATACATATGCAGAATGTTTTGGTATATGTATATATAATATAAATTAATATTGAATTATATATATAAAATTTATATATATATATATATATATATATATATATATATATATATATATATATATATATATATATAAAAAAGCTTTATATTGTAAATGAATGTTTCAACACTTAAATCACAGTATTAAGACAAAAAAATAAGTTTTATGAACAAATATATTTTATATTATATTTATATTAAAAAAATGAATCACAGATTTATACTAATCGTACCTTGAACAAGACGTTCGCCTTGCTCGATCTAGTCTATAGATGTGAACAAAATGTATAACAACTTAGCCGAAAGGGCTATGTATACAAAGGAATTTTATTATTTACAAAGGAATGGTCAATCCAAACCTCTTGCATTATTAAATTCTTTTTATTCTTCTTTTATTTGTTCAATATCTACAGTGTCCTAAAAACTATTAATTTTATAATTTTTCTATAACATTATTTCGTACCAATTCGTCTCACATACTCTACCAAGCAGTTTAAAATAGTAATGAACATTTACTGTCACATTGACATATAAACTGATCACATTTAAATTATAATTACACATGTCAATAATTAAATAATAATTTTACTGATTTTTATCATTTACATTATGATAGTTGTAAATGAGCATACCATAATTAGGAACACAGTTTAAAAAGTTATATTCACAAAATATAAGTAACAAAATCAGAATGACATGTAATGTAATACAGTAAATGACACTATTATTAAAAACTTCAATAACAAATGTTCGCTGATTGAAACCTTTGGTGTATGTTATTTGGCATTTTCAGTTGTATGTGAGAGCTTGATAAAAATGAAGGAAGGCAGGCGCGAGGTAGATACATGCCAAAGGGAACACAACCATAACCCGTAATGTGTCCTACCTCCTTAGCACAAAATGTCTTTCTCAACAACTTTCTCTTGGCTATTACAAATAGCCCAGGGTGGCGTACTTCTTCACGAATGGTTCTTCAGTCTTACAGTTTTCCCTAGAAACATTAAAGTCAGCATCATTAAACAAATAAAAATATAGTGCTCTTGGGTCCTACAATTTTCTTGAGAAATAAAAAAAGACATCATTACAGAAATTAATTGAATAAATGAAAAAATAAATAAATCAATAAACTATGTAAATTTTAGATTATTTGTGTGATATTAATTTGTAGCAATTGAGATAAAGTATGTTCATTTAATACAATAAAGAAGAAGGAGGAAATTATATTTCATTACAAAAAGTAAAATATTAGCAACAACATAATTTATTAATTGATCAATGTTGATTAATTTACAAAGAATCAAAGCATTAATATTGTGGAGTATAGGAAGCTGCTTCTTTATCTTATCACCCACTACATATATCAGTTTTGAGTAAAAAGAATCATTTTAAATATTGTTGTATGAATGTGTACGTGAACACACGCATTCACATGTAGACTTTTATTTTTTGGAAGTTAAAAATTGCAAAATTAATAATTATTTAGTAACAAAAAATAAATTTCTATACTGCAAATAAAATTTTACACAAAAAGTAAATTTACAACAAAACAAAATAATTCATTTAATGAAGAATCCTATCTTTCAAAAATTAAATAAAAACAAAAAAGATAAGATTGACCGAGTTTTGACTTTAATGACAACTAATAATAGTTAATTTCAATTTTAAACTTAATTTTACATTATTTTCTCATAAAATCTATGATAAATAAATGAAAAATTATTAGTTAAAATTCATCAGTTTTCATTAAAAGTTTCTTTCTTGATGATATTTTGGTTCATACATGGAAGAATAGATCTTTTTTTCTTTCTCACGCACACCATTTATCTGAAGCAGCTCTTCTTTTATTTATTTATTTTTTTCTTGTGAACATTAATTTTAAATATACTTTTCTAATATGTTCTTCAGTTTAAATGTTGATTATTTTAATAGAAATAGAAAAATAACTTTATTCTAGGACGAAGTCTCTTCTCTTAAGAATGAGAGAAAGTTACAGAACAAAAGAAATACTTCTGACCAGAAGAACTACATTAAATTCAGTAGCATTCAATTCCTCCGTAAACATTTTTAGAATTGAAATATTTGAGTTTAATAGAGTAGTAAATGTAATTTGATGTCTATCTTTTATAGACTTACCATATACCTATTAAGCATGAGTGGATTTAATTAGAATTAATCTAAAAAATTAATGTTAATAAAGATAATGTGGCCAAATATTTCAATTCTTTTGATATGTAAATACAGTGCAATATTTTTTGTCACTCTTCCAATATCAATTTAGAATTCTTAAAATTATGGCCTATAGAAAGAAAGAGGCAAAGCAAGTGACAAATGCTGTCAAAATCAAAATAGAAGCCTTTTTCTTCTCTAAAGAAACAAATTGTTAAAAAAAAAATTCTAAAAATGTTTACGAACTAAATTGAATTTCTTCATTCTAATTTGTTTTTAAACATTTTAGAATGTCTTCCAAATTTAGTTTATTGAAATAGTGAAATGAAAAAAAAAAAACATCTGGTGCGCGCATTATACAACTTTCACTTAATTTTACTACTTTCAATAGAAATTATTTTCTGGCAATGTTGGGCAATTTATGCATTTTAAACAGAGCTAAAGCTTAAAGCTAACAGATAATAAATCATTATGACAATTAAAAAAACTCTTTTATTATACTGATGCTAGACAATAAAAATCTAGTTACTACATCTGCTTTTATAAACAACGTAACTTCTATCTCTGATCTATGTGTGCCATTCAGTTGACAGAATGACTAACTCCAATTTCAACATTTTTGAGTAATGTCATTTTAGTGATATTTCTAGTTGGAATAGTTATATCTATACAGGCAGTGAGCTTTGAAAGAACATCTGAATATTTAACCCAAAACTGATTATGGATTGTAGAACTATTATTTATTAAACTGTTACCTCTTATTGTAAAGTTTACTAAAATGAAATTACGAGATTTTCATTGCCTGCCATGGATAGGTCATAAGTTGTCATACTAATTTAATTTTCTAAAAGGTTACTTGATTATTTTTTGGAATAAACTGCTGATAGATATCTAATTATTTAAATATAATATTACATCTAGAGTTATTAAACAACAGTAAATGTATTTAAGGTCATATCCATATCCATGAAATATTTTTATATTTCACTTCTTCTTTCACACAAGTACAATGAAATGATATTTTAAACAACGGCATTGCCTTGATAGGGTAGATTTTAAATATTTTTTTTTCAAACTTTAAAAAAATAATTAAAAGTTTCCATTTAGTAAGAAAATTTCATTTAATTTCCTTGGAAACATGTGATTTACGTTAAATAATGTATTTTCAGAAATTATTATTTATGTTTTTTTTGTCACTCTCCGTTACCTTCTACAATTTTATTTATTTGATATTATTTTTTCTAAAATTCTCCGCTTTCCAAAGAAATATTACGTGTATACCTTCTGACTCTTATTTCTTGGGATTTATTTTCGACCTGGATTAGCATTTTTCTTTTTTTCTCCATTGTTCAATTATCAAATTCTTTTAAAAGTTATACTTAGCAGTTTTTCGTAACCCCTAACAATGAGAGATAGTTAATTATTCAAAATAATCCAAATTTAAGGTACTTTAGATGAAGAAATGTTGACATTGAGCATTTAAGCCCTGTAAAGGGACATCATTGGGGATAAGACCTAAATTATTCCGGTTAGCTGATTTTAAAGAAAAAGCTGCTGTAATATCTCAGTCATATACCTATCTAAAATAGATAATATAAGTTTCATATGAATTTTCGTTTTTGAGCAAGACTGTTCACACACACACACAAACCATTTTGTGGGACTTGGTTATTTGGACTCAGGGGACCTCAAAACGTATATTTCCGTTGAAAACTCAGATTCAAAAATTTTCACGATCACAATACTCCTTACTATTTATTTCATATATACATAAGTGAAAGTAAAAAATATATTGATAAGGAAAAGGTTAAATCTTTGACATCAGCAAATTAAATTCATTTGCTACTTGGATTATTGAAATCTTGTCACCTTCAATAAGTTTTATAACATTTTGAAAAAGAGTTGCTTGGTTGTGTACAAACTGCTGGCACAAAACATGTAAATCTTAAAAACTGTGTTATTATTGAAGTCATAAATTAGACATTAAAAACACCATCGAATTATTTCCTCACAAAAATTCGTTTTAGAACTAAATTCTATACCTTATTTCAGCTCCTCCTTCCCCGGCCAATAGAGTTTTGCTTTACCAATGTTAAAATCTGTCTACCTTAAGAATTAGCCAAGATTTGCCTCCAGATTTGAGTAACCGTAGAAATTATCAGAGTTATCAGCAAAAATAATTAAAATAAATAGTAACTAAAATAAAATTTTGATTTATGAAAAAAAAAAATTAAAAAAATCATATGACACTGAGAGAAAGAGACAAGGTGGCTTTTGGGAGTCAGTTACATAACGGAGGCAGAAAATACGTGGAGAGTTTATTTTAAAAATTTATCTGAGATCAGTATTTTAAATGTGCTAGTAAGTGATTTTGAATAAATAAATAAAACAAATCTTTACATCTTTTATATACCAAAATAGATAAAAAAAAACATCTAAAACAGTAAACAATAATTTTAAATTTATTTTTTCAATTATAAGTTTATAATAATATTAAATTATGTTTCAAAATTAAATGAACGTTTACAACACACATATCACAAGTACTAAATAAATCCGTCCTCTTAAAGATAAAGTTTGTTCATTAAAAAATTAGTTTATATTTTTATTAGAAATTTTCTTTTTGTTGTACAAATCAGTTTTATTAAATAATTATTTGAATAAGTATTTTTTATTTATTTATTTGCAAACACTATTGTAGTACTATCCCTAATTATTATAATTTCATATATAGGTAAGTGAAAGTAAAAAATATTTAATATTAATTTTATTATTCAACAATAGAAATCTTAACAATACACTATAATACTTTACAATACAAATCTAAGCAGGCATATTTTTAACACGTTAGCTGCGGTTATGGTCTCCGGGTTGCGATATTCGTCTCGTTTTCATCCTGGATTATTTCGAATTTTGTCTATCTTACGAAGTCTCTAAAATGGCCATTTTTAAAAATATTTTAATGTGAGTTGGATAGATACAAACGTAAATAATCATTATATATGATAGATGTCAGGAACCATAACCACATCTAACGTGTTAAACACAAACAAATTTTCAATCATACGATAAATGTCTTCTGAATAATCGATGCTTCTTACGACAGACACACAAACATTCAATACAACAAATTCACGAGAAAACTCCTACCATAACAGCCAGGAAGCTCATATTCTAAGAACTTAAGTTATTTTTAAAGTAGCTTAGTTTAATTGAGCATACTTGGAATTCATTAGCAATGTTTAAACTCATCCATTTAACATTAGAGAAAAAAATGTAATTAATGTGAGTACAAGTGTAAAACTAAGTACTTGTAAATTATCTGCTTTCTCCCTGTCTGTCACACATCTATGAAACCTCCTCCATAATTGCGTTTTAGGGCAGGAGTTCTTAAACTTATTTAATTAATAAGATTTCCTCTTGAACATTTTTTCATGGGCTCTTTATAAGAGTATTTTATGTTAAAAAATGGTAAAATAATAACAAATAAAACAAGTTCTGACTATGTAGGATTTTTCTTAAATTAGTAATTTGAACATAATTAAAAATTTGGGGGATATCATTATTTAAAACCAGGCCCTACCTATTAGGCAATATGGGTATTTGCAGTAATGGTTAGCTATGCATGCATGTACCAGAGGTGCCCATTCCCACCAAGGATTGTAGGGTATGTCCCTTGCCAAGAAAATTTATTGCTTAACTATTCTTAACAGTGAAAATGAAACTAAGATTATAAAACTCCTAGTTTATAGTGTTTCCTTTGTTCCTTGGTTTGAAAGTTTTCTTGAATTGAAACCTTACAAAAATATGGTTTCCTATATATATGTGAACGCCACAAAAATCAGATATAGTCCAGTCAAAATGAGCTCCCTCCAAAATTATGATTGATGCAGCCCCTTTTGGGACATCACTGGCATGTGTTACAACCCACTACTATAATCAGAAAATTAAAAGGGGTTTTAAAATGGATATGAAATAGAGTTCCATTTTCCTGATTGAAAGTGCTTTGTTACAGCATAAGAGTCTAATATTTTCATAAAAAATATGACTAAAAATTAGCCTTAGGCAGTATAGACTTCCTTAAAAATTTAGTATTATTTTTCATAAACAAAACACATTATTTTTAAGGAATCATTTCCATCTGCAGAATATCTTATAAACAATATATAGTAACAGACTCCTTGTTATCATAAATTACAATTTCTATACATTAGATTAGTCCAAGTTAAATACATGAACAAAGTAAACACATATATTCTGTTACATCACTGCAGATTTGTTTGTTAGTGCAAATAACTTTTTTTTAAGATAGGTATGATTCGCTTAAAGGTTGACAAAATAATACATTTTGATTTTTGATTAATAAACAAAAATTTTTAAGGAAATCTAGTTGATCAAAATTTAAAATCAAATAGATAAAAATACTACCATGAGAATTCAAAAGATTAACAGGAATATGACATGTAGAGAAGAGAGAAAATGGGCTCAATATTGCTGTAAAATAGGATCTAAGTTTTAAGTCTTCAAGGGTTATGGATATTTCAAAAGTGTGAACAATTTACCAAGCTAAAAACGCAAATAACCAGGCTTTGAATGACCTGAAACTACGCATTTTTCAGCACTAAAGCTCATATAACACCTCATGCAAAACAGTAAGTGTTGTTCCACACCCTGATAGCTTGGTCCAGTTAATAATACATATTTTAAAGAAAGGCAAACATTTTCAAAACATTATATGTTTTGAAGAATGACATCTAATTCAGTAATTTTATGTTAATCTTTAAATAAAACAATTTATACAAAAGACATTTGGTAACAAATTAGTTACAAGTTCAAGTTATATACGTTCTAACTCAGGACTTACAAAAGCAGTATTCTGACTACAATACTCACTCGTCCTCCCAGGGGCAGATATCAGTTTGAGGTGCATATTCTACGGTTGTTTCCTCTCCTGATTCTACTTCCTCTTTTGCCTCAGATGATAGCAGCCTTACTTTCCTCTTGACTTTTTTTTTAACCTGGGTTTCTTCTTCAACCTCTTTTTTCTTCATCAAGATATCTCCAACCTTGAAGAATTGATAAACTTTTATATTGAAATTACATTTTAACTGTTTATATTTATTTTACTCTAAATTTATCTTTTCACAAATCAACAGAGAAAATGACATCTAAACCATCTCTGCGATTTAGTAATTAGCACTTTTTTTTTCTTCAAACATCGACTTTCTGCATTATGGGAACAGAATTTTATTGTAACAACAATAAAATAAGTTATTCTGTTGTAATATTTTTTCCTTATTACGCATGTCCAAAAAAGGCTGTCATCGTCTTCTATAACTATATCTGGCAATCTCTTAGGAAATGTTTCTTCCTCCTTCTTGGAACCATTAGGTTGTGGCTAATGTTGTCTTTAACCTGTACATGAAAGCTTAGGAATACAAGTAGTTCTCTTCAGTCGTCATTAGGAGAGGAAAATTGACCTGAATGAGGATGTAGAAACCAATCACCTATTCATTTGAGCCTCAATGCCTCAAATTGAAAGCAAGGCATCACCATCTGCACAGTACGGGAAGTCCAAGTCCTTGCCAATGGTGAGGACAAGTTCCCTAGCCCCATGCCCTGAGAGGAACTAGGAGATAGGCTGGTAAGACCCATTCCACGACCAATGGTTGCTGGATAGTTGGAACAAATGGTTGAAACTGCTTATAAAACGAATTATGGAACATGGGTTCACAACTTTTGAGATCATTGATGATTTGACAATCTATTCAACATGACCACCCAATCAATACAGGCGGTGTTAGCTGTTAATCATTCAAGGTCTCTTTCTGGAATAATGCCAGAGGTAAACTGCACACATGCTGCAAAAATATTCCCCAGCCATAGCAATTACTGAATATGATTGAGTACTCCACTTTGATTAAAACCCTACTATGTTTCACTAATTGATATACTATTTGGTATGATGAATTTTTGGCACTTTCAGATTCATAACATTTCAAAAAGTTCTTATAATTTTGAAAATTTCTTCATAGGTCGAAATTGCTGGTTTAAGAAAAAATAAAAATTGAATCCTTGGTTTAATATAATGCCATGTATATAACATAAAAACCAGCATTTCTTTTTTTTTTTTTTTTTTATAGTATTTAAGAGTAATATAGTAATAGAGATGAACTCTCACTGTCTTAATTTCTTTCAAAATTCAATATTGTATACAAAATATTATCTTTGTGGGATTTGACTCCAGGAGGTTTTTAAGAATAAACAGTATTAAATGGAGTATTGACTTTGTTTGCAACAAGATTAACAATTTATAGAGATATCTTACCCATGTTTTCATTTCTATGAATACTTTAACAAAGTGGCCTGTCCTGCATGGCTAATATGAATCCTTCACTTTTGGGGAACAGACTTCCACTGAGAATTTTGGATAGCTGTAAATTTCTAGTACGATAATCTTGGATTAGACACCCCAGGAAAAAAAAAAATGTATTGATATAGAAAAGGAATAATCGCAAATTACTTTTGAAATTATCTATTTCTTATCAAATCACAATAGGTTAAAATACTACTCGACCACCTAAATCTTGAATTCTTTAACCACATTCTATCCCATCACTTTCCAATAAATTTTTTGACACTAATTTCACTGTCAATTTTTTTGTTTAGGGTGATGTACTAGATAACTAACGCACGTAAAAGAAAATTTTTCTCATTAATTTTTAACAAAATGTCTTTTTTTTTCTTTTTAAGACTGATTGTTTGAGTATTTTATTACACAAGTCAAAATCTATAATATGTCCAGTTGAGTTGTTAAAATAAATTATTTTATAGTTGAAAAATATTTGAAGACCATAATATATAATATAGCTTAGTAATATAATTTATTACATAAATAAGTAATAATTAACATTTTAAAAATATTGGGAAAATGGGTATTTATATGCACATTGAACTATATATCACAGATAATCAGTGCTGCTTCCAGATGGGGGTATATCGTTTTTCATAAGAATACATTTATTTAACCTTATTCTTTTTCCTTTCCAAATCCTTGGTACCTTACTCTTACTTGAGTTCAAGTTTTCTTTTTAGTGACATTTTTGCCATGAATATGATATGAACCTATTAATGTTATGTTTTCTTTTGTAAAAGTAGTTTCAGGGCAGAAAAGATTTTAAAATGTTTGGTTTGTAGTTTTTGTTTCTTAGTATAATTTGTTTATTGACTAATTGATTTTTATTTCGTTTTATTTTTATAAATTGACTTAGTCGATATTTAACAAGCCACAATTTGAACATTTGCCACCCTCTGTCACCTGGTGATAAATGTTACTTGTTCTTAATTGGATTTAGCTGAATATTAATAACTTAATATTTTCAGCTAACTAATGAAAGATTTTTAAAACCCAATGTCGGTAATTGACAGAGATGTCAACTAATAGTATTCTACTCAATTTTCTATACCAATAGTTGACAAGCCATAAAATTATCTCAAAATAGATTTTACTCTGCTCAGTATTAAAAATGAAATAAGCTCTGAATTTTGTAAACTACTGATTTATTTTTAAAAAATCTTTGAAATAACTGAACAAAAATTATCATTTCTCTTTAACTCACCATTTATTCCCTAATAAAAATGATAATAGGAAACTAAATATTGATACAGAAAAAGGAAAGTCATTATTATTATTGTAGTTTTTAGATTCTCCCAAAGATGATCTACTGCTACAGGTCCAAGATTTTGTTTTCACAACCAAAATATCTTCTGCATCTGAACTGAATGTTTAGGATCCTATAATATGATCGGGGAAGAAATTATTAATAAAAAATAGTGTTCAGCAACGAGGCATACAAATTTAAGCATAATTCAAGGCTTGGAATTTTAAAATTTAAGGTACTTATCAGGAAGTTATTGGATTCAATTTTTAAAATATCAGTACCAAAAAATGTATTTGTCAGCTTCTGATAAAATGTGCAATTTGTACTAGAGAATAAACTTCAATAATTTGGGAAGAGGAGATACCTTGATAATAAAAAAGAACCAACAAACTTATTACAAGAAGACAAGAGTAAACCAGTGAAAATTAAAACTTGGAGCCCTAGCTCTAAGGAAAACCTAATGCAGTGGTCGAGCTGAAACAGTTGGAGCTAATAAATTATTTTATAGTTTCACAGTAACACATCGACAGAGTACACATTTGAAGGAGGAGAACTGATGGATAAAGTGAAAGGAGGATTTTACTAGCTTTCTTTGAATAGGAAGAATTGCTATAAGGTAAGAGGAACGATTGAGACGCTAACTCTCTTCTCAATATTTTTATACACTTGTTTAGTTTATATTGATTTCATATAGTACTAATAGAGAAATAGAACTCAAGAATGCTGGCCACTTTATAAAAAGAACACCATTTAGGCAAGAATAGCCAGTTTGGACCCCAGAATCACACATAAATGCAATCATTTTTATTTTGACAAGACTTTCATGAATCTATCCAGGATACCACTTCATCTCATGTGATGATATTTTATATCTTGACTAGTTCATTAAGGGCTTCCCCACAGCTCAGCTTTCAGTAGCTGGCCAAAATACAGTAACTACTGAGAAGAGGAAGTAAATATATTAAAGAGTGGTTAAATTGACTGCTGAATTCATGTTTTAATAAAAGGGTAAGAAATTGTTAGAATCATGGTAGTCAAAACACACCAATCATAAGGAATTAAAAATAATCAAAAAGATGCCTAACCTCCTTTGTAGTTTCCTCTACTACAAGAGTAATGGAAACTTCTTCAGATTTTTCATCCACAGTTGGAGATACACCCTAAAAAAAATTTAAAAAATCATATTAAACAAGCTAATATGATAAAAAATTATTAAATAAAATCGGGAAGTAATTTTAAAATGTGTTAACTTTTGTGTTTTTCAATAAATTCTTGAAAATTTACAGGTGAAACTCCAGTAATGAAAGGAAGTTATCATGCATCTTAGTCATAAAGAGTAGTGCATTCAAAATTACAAGGTCAGTGGTAATTATAAGATAAATATATTCTAGAAAAAAATGTTAAATAGAAACGTACAATAATAAATTTATGAGGAGATTGAAAAAGAAAACAATTTATGATGAAAACCAGATTTGTAGAAATTTCAAATGAATTCATTGGAGATAATTTTGAATGGTCTGAGTCCATTTCTGACTCTGGTTCCACAAAGGTTTTAGTGTGATAATAAAATAATTAGTACCTATGATATTTTTCAGAAAAAATAATATCACTAACATGAAGGTCGGTAAAAAGACAACCAGGGAGGAAAAATTGGACAATTGAAAAGAAAGGACTAAAATATAAGTTGAGAATATGTCTCTAGTACAGAACAAAAATGATTAGTCATAAGCCATTTTTCTTTGGGAATAATAAACTCTCTTCAGACTTAATTCTAAAGGTTTAGGTAGATATAGTCATACTAAAAAAACATAAATTAATAATAATGTAAATTTTGAAAGGGTACTAAAAAGATACAGGACCAAAAATGAATTGGTATAATGCACCAGTCAGACTGACGAAACTGATATTGGCTCTAGTGCAGCAGAGTTTAGTCAGAAAAACAGCTCTATTGTTCAAAGGTACCATTTCAGCAATCCAAGCAACATTGTCTTCACATTCAATTATTTCTCACTGTCCCAATTAAGTAAGGCTTAATATCTACTGGAACCGACTAGACTTGACCGATAAATCATTCACATTTGTGGTTAATCACTCTCATTCCTACAAGAATTTTGAGATTAATGTATAAAAAAAATAATAAAAACTTTAAAACATTTAAAATTAATTTTAAAAAAATACAAATTCAAGGAAAATTTTTTTTATTCATAAATGTTAATATATTAAAAGATTAATACAATTGATTGAGACAGGTAAAGGTAGGATCCTTGAGGATGACTGCTACTTTTTTTTAAACCTTGCTCTGCATAAGATAGTAAAGAACTTGGAAGGCCATGGGAAACATTCTCCATTCTTGTCATCAAGTATTTGTATACAGATATGAAACTGCCTAGTGGCTAGGAATATTGCTGCACTAAAGGAGTCTTTTCGAATGTTTAATAATGAAAGCCTAAAAATTGGTCGATTGATTAATCAAAACAAGACCAAATATATGAGTAAGACACCAGGCTAGAATAAATAGGGCTCCCACAACTTTTGATGAGTATAATTTCGAGACAGGTATTGTTTCAATTACTAGTCTGAACTAAACAATGAAGACAAGATATTAAATGAAATAAATAGAACAATGGCTGCTAATCAGGCATGCTTTGCCTACTCAAGTACAGTCAGTTAATATTCAATTCAAAAGTAAAATATACATATATTTTTACATTTAGTGAATATTAGTACATCACCTAAAACGAGTTGAAAAAAATTTATTTTATGAATTAAAAAAAATACACGTAAAATTAACTGCAAAATATAACAACAAAAGTAATATTTGAGCATTATAAATAATATTAAAAAAAAAAAGTACTTTTGAATTCAACAAGCAGCAAATTACAGATTCTAGGGAAGCAATAAAGTTAAAATATTTGATTATTAAAGTTAAAGAAAAATATATAAGAAAAATTATTTCACACGATTTATTTGGCCAAACATTGAAGATCATCTTTAGGGCCCCTTTCACACTGAAGATGCAAGGCGCAGGATGCATGCATCTGAAACACTGGACGGTGTAAAACTTACTTGTCAAAATGTACTTATACACATAGAACGAGAGCTTTCACACTGAAGCCACAAGTGCGTCTTGCAGCCTGGATGCAAGAGGCACTTGCATCTTGGGAACCAGCCGGCTGGAATTTTCAGCTTGCATCTTTGTTGTGCTGGTCTTGCATACTCATCCATTCCACCTCGGCCTGTCCGAAGCAAAATATTTTTGAGGAGCAATCATTGGGTCCGGTCGGCATAAACTGTCAATGCTCGGTTTACACTCTGCCTTCTCAATTTTCTCTAAGCTCTTCTGATTGACGTCTCTATAAATTGCTTTATTATTATCAACTATTGTTTTTTATTTTTTATCCATTGTTAAATTTATTTTTAACTACAGGTATTTTTTATCAATTGCTCCATATGTGTTTTTACCTATTTTTCTGGTTATCACCATGGAAGATTAAAAATTGTATGTCAAAATCGTTAGTGAAAAAAAATTAATCATAATATTAATAAAGTTAATTATATTGTGTACTTTACCATCCATTTATTTTTATTACTTCGTATATCATCGTTTCCAGATCCTATCTCATACATTTTTAAGCCCTGCTAGTTGATTAAAAAAACCACGAGCTCCGTTTGCATTTCATTTCATACTGCAATTAGGCATAATATTTCAATTATAAAACTTCCATCCACCCTTAAACTATGTTGCCCGACACAGAGAACTTCAATATGACCTTTGTTAAAGCAATTGAAGACTATCCTGCAATATACGATACTACAAGTAAAGAGTACTTGTATAGGGATGAACAAGACAAATCATGGAATGCCTTGGCACAAAAATTCGAATCAACAGGGTATAGAACAATGTACTTATATAATTTATTTGGGTTTGCAAAAATTCAATATCAATTACTATTAAAATTACAATTTCGTCATCTGAAGAGTTGGACGATTATTCATCTTTCAAACTCACGTACTAAACTAACAGAGATAATGGATATAAACAGAAGATGCAAGAGGCATGTGTATTCTTGGTGTGAAAGCTCTTTTATCGAGAAGCAGGACGCACATGCATCCTGCATTCAGGACGCATGCATCTTGCATCTTGGGTGAGAAAGGGGCCTTAATATTTGGCTGCTATAATATAGAAGTAATTTTTTATAATACTATTCTGTATTTATTTATACTTAAACGATTCCAAATAAATTATCAATTGGAATTTCCATTACTTATATAAAATAATATAATTGCCAACAACTGTTAAAAACATAGGGCCACAAAATGAATATAGTATAGGATTGCCAGAGTGGAAGATGGGTGTGGAGTAAAATAAAGTTAAAAATACCCCTTTCAACTAAGGAGACAGGAAGCCTGAATATGGAGGGTGGAAGAATGTTTGGGGCCTCAGTGCAATATTATCAATATGTTCAAGGACAGTAGATTGTACAGATTCGCTCACACACAAGAAAAAAGGTGAGGAGGTAAACCACAGACCACTATTTCTTTCCCCTTCTATCCTTGTTTCATACTGTTTTAAGATTATTATTTCCTTTGGTATAATAAATCAATACTTTAATTAAACAACTTTTTAAGGGTGATAAATAGCCATAATGCAGTCATTTCTAAGGTTTTTATTGGTGTCAACGTTACAACCAAAGCATGTGGTTCATCATCAGGGCGTGATTGGAACACTAAAGGTGTTCAAATACTCGTATTCAATATCAAATACTAGAGTTTAAATGAGTATTTGAACACCTTCATGCTCGAAACACACCTTGATGATGACCCACATGCTTGGATTGAAATGTAGGCATCAATAAAAACCTTTAAAATGACTGCGTTCTGACTAATTATTAGCCATGATATGTAGAACAGTCGTTCAACTTCCTTCAACAACTTATTAATATTAATAAATTAAAATAGAAAGATAAAGGTTCATTAATAATTTTGTTTATTATCAAATAATTAAAACATAATTTAACAAATTAATATCAGTATGATTTTTTTTTCTCCATAAATGCAAAATTATCTAATACATTAAAAAAAAATAAAAATCAAAACTGAAGAATTTTTTTCAATGAAGATTTATAAAAATATAATTTTTATGAGAATTACCTCAGGTTTATAATTTTTGTTTAAATTTTTAATTACTATAATATTTTCTGGGTGTTTAAAATTTCAATCCTAGCTAATATAAATTGTTGATAGAAACTCTTCAATAGTTAAATTTTTGAAAATTTAAAAGCTACTTTTAAAATTTGATTTTTTCTTTATCTAATATTTATGATATAAAATCTGATATTTTTCTTTTCATTTAACTTAAGAAAACTGAAATAATATCTAAATAAACAGGCCTATTACATTTTTTACACAAATCTTTTTATTATTAAATTTTAATAAATTTATTGCAATTGTCTATATTTATTTAGTAAAGTATTGGGTGGATACATAAGTTTGTTCAGTTTTTGTTAGTAGTGCGAATTGTTTTCAAATTTCTCTATACCTTATCTGACAATATTGATACTTATTAGAAAAGTCAAAGTCCGCTCTTCAAAACTGTTGTGTTTGGCTTCATTGGCATTAGTTTTTTTTGTGTTGCAGCGTAGTGAATATGTCAAATGATAAAGTGCTGTAGTTTACTTTATTACTTCAAAAAAGGCAAATGAGCTTCAGAGGCCAACTGAAAGATATGTAAGGTATACAGGGACGATACCTTAACAGCACGTACTGCTAAAAAATGGTTTGCCAAGTTTTGCTCTCGAGATACGAGTCTCGAAGAAGCATCCCGCAGCAGTCGGCCTACCAAGGTTGTTACAAGTGATGTCAAGGTTCTAATCGAACAAGACTGGTCACTACAGGTATGAGAAATTGCGGGAACACTGAAAATAGTTTTTGGAACCTTGGCAAGAAAGAGACCCATTTCTCAAACGACTAGTGACTGGTGATTAGTCGTCTAATGACGTCAACGGGAAATCATTCGCTGATGAGAGAAATGTGTAAACGTATTTCAATCAGTTTTTCACTTCTAAGCTCCAGATGTTTTATGAGAGCTGAATAAAGAAATTGTTTAAAAGATGGTAAGAAGTCATTAATAAAAAAAAAAATTGTTTCATTTCATCCTTCA